TGGGGGGACCGGGTGGGGGGGGGACTCTTTTGACCCCCCTAAGAACTCGCGAACGGTATGTCGTATGACTAAAAATTTATTATATCTACCATTTTTATGTCGTTATGATGTAATATGACGTCAGTATGACGTCATTAATGTGATTTTATTGGCCAAAGCCGTCTAAATAGGTTTTTCCCTGAAAACTAAATGGTATTCAACATAACTGTACCAAAAGTGTTTATGACAGAATATTATGGTGTACTAAGTCTTATGTTGCCCATAGCAACACCGGTGACGTCATTAAAAGACGTCATGCATATTTAAGATATCCGCCATCTTGGATCATCAATCTTGAATTTTCAAAAATAGTTTTTTTTCATGATAAAGCCTAAAATACATCGTAAACATACTAAAGACCTTCATTTAAACCTTTTTAGGAAAAAGAAATGAAAGTATTAATGAAATTTTAATGAAAATAACCTGTAAATACCTGTTCTAAAGATATGGTCCGCCATCTTGGATTTTGGCCAATGACGTCATCAAATTAGCATAAATTATGCATATTTAATGATAAAATTTACATGAAATTATATGGGATGTTATTAATATTAGAAACCATGTGTAACTTGACATAAAACCCATAAAATTCTACTGTTGAAACAAAAAGTACTAAATTTAGCAAAAAATGCCTGTCAGAAACCCGTTGCTATGGCAACACAAAAAATTATCATCTTATTTCAATGATAGAGAATTGTTGCCAACAATATTCTAGGAAAAGTAGGGTTAATGCATAATGGAGTAAAATAAAATCTTAAGTTAAATGAGGAATATATACATGCTTTTAGGTTGAAATATACATTCTCCAGAATTTATAATCCCTACCTTTGTCGTTCGTAGCCCGGCTTTGTTTATAGCCGTTATCCCCAAGTAGAATTCAACGCCTTCTCCTAATCCAGAGTGCCTAAGAATAACAACAAAATCAAATTATTATTTTTAATTTCGTTTCATTTATTCATTTTATTGCTCACTTACTGCATGGAATTGATAAAGCTGCTTGATTTTTTATCTGGAATTCCTCTTAAGCAAACATCGTTCGAATTTAAAAAAAAAAATTACAGCTAGTACCTGGTGTTGAAAAATGTGTGCCCATTGGTTGGAGTGAGCGGCATGATGTCAGGGTCTATTACCGATGACTCCGTGGAGCTCAGACCCACCAGGTAATCCTGTATGCTGCTCTCATCATCAGAACCATTCCAGTAAACTCTTAGCTGGGGGGGGGCTTGTGCAAGTTATTTTCGACTATAAGGTCTTAACAACAAATCTAGAAAAATGTGCAGTTAAACAAGATACTTTCGATAAATGATTATGGGTATACATAAGTTATTATGATGTAAAATGATACTTTTGGTAATCATTATCTGATAATGCTGACAGGTGAAAGCCGAACTCTACATGTGTATGACTTTTGCAGTTGTTTGATTAAAACGCTTTTTTTTTTGTTTTCAGTTATTATATACAATAACAGAGAAATAATTGCATTCAATTCGGCCAAGCATTCAAATATGAGTCTACAATGTTATATATGCCATTGGCTTGTGAGGAGAATATATATGTAGCCTAGATATCGTAACAAATACGTTTAGTAATAAAAATTGTTAATAGTTATACCGTTCAGAGTTGAACATTGTTGATAATTAGCATATTAGCATAATTAGAGTTAAATTAAGATGTTTTAATAAGATATGTTTTAGATTATTTTGGATGGGTAATACGCTTGGATGTAAATATTCGTGTTTAAATCAATAGAGGAAAAATAACCATACGTACGTGTTTATCTCCCGTGAGGAAGTAGAGTTGAGCCATCGGTCCCACAGACTCACAACTCTCATACATCTCCTGCCAGTCTCTATAGGTGAAACCGGTCTTGTTTTGGGTAATAAACTCAAGTTTCCGGTCTGGAAAGATGTGGGGGTCTTCAACCTGTCTAGCCACAGACCTAAAGAGGTAAACATAATTAAAGTAAATGCAGATATTCCAAAAGTTATATTTTTTATGCAAACAAAAGTACTCCAATGTTATAATTTTCTTTCAGTTCTTTGAGCCTCAATATGTGCCATTAAACAGACCAACTTACACATAGAATGAAGAAATGTAATGTATTGTAGCCAGCTCGAAGTATTTGTGACAGTGTCTGTTTTTCACAAATTCATGACTGATCAATATCTAATAATAAAAGTTTTCGACACTATTTTCATTATGGCAGAATGTTTTTTTTAATGGTGTTCTACGAATGTCTGTTACCTGCATGTTGAAGACGGGTTTTTCACAGCTGTTTTCCTGAGCATGTCGTCCACCATCCAAACGTCTCCACTGCTGTCCTTCACCGCCCCCGGGTGCACGTGGATGTTTTCTATGACGATGTTTGTGACTGTGGGTTTGGTGTTATCGTACACAACCCCGTCAGAACACACCGGGACGGAGGGGTCCAGGGCCCGGTTGTAGGCCACCACTGTGCAGTAGTATGTACCGGGGACAGCGGCGGTGTAGCTGGCATGTGTCTCGTATGGAGTCTTTCGGGTCACCTGATTATAGAGGTATCATAGTAATCGACAATAGTGTTATCACTTGCTATTCCTTCCTATCTAAAGCTGCGTTATGGAAAATTAAGATAGTAATAAATTAATTTCTTGGGCATTTATTTTAAGCGTAAGTTGCAAATAAGTATCATCCAGGGAGTGGAGGTGCCAAAATATGAGGGCGTGTGAGTGAGTTAAAAAGCTTGAAATATTTTTGTTTACATTCTAATGTTTTGTGGTTACACCAAAAGCTAGCGCCTGTCCTCTCCTGGTTTAATAACGACAACTTGAAAAAATGGTATACATAATGCTGTCTTATTCATTATACTTATTATTTCTACTTATTATAGGTTCCGGGTTGGGGCTATCGGTTTTTTTTCAAATGCTCAGACATATGGAAGTACAAATTACCTTAGCATTGTTACTACAACTATATCACCGGGACAATATCATAAGTCATAACGACTTTAAGGGCTTACCATCTGCGGTTCCGGAACACCAAAATCATCTGATGTCCCACAGCGGGTATCAAAGTAAACCTGGTAAAACTTCACGCCACTCTCGTGATCAAAGAACCCGCTCCAGGAACAGTGGACATTCTCGTCGTTCTGTGGAAATGGACAAACACAAATCTGCACGTTTATATCACAGGTTAGGAGCGACGATACTCGAGCTCACACTTGAGTATTCAAAACCAACATTGACTCGGTAAGTGAAGGTAAACATACTATCTGATGGAAAATTGAATTTCCGTTGATGTAGCTTATTTGATATCCTGGTACACAATATTTACAGACCAATTTGAACTCTCCTAATACTGGATAAATAATTATTACTGTATCTCCATTTCATCTCCCAAATTAGAGGTTGCACAAACGTTATATCAATCCTTGTAGCTGTCGGGCAGTTTTGGGGCTCGAGCAGCTACATCTATTTTAATTCGAACTTCAATTGAATCAGGTTTAGGCAAAATAAATTAGAAGTCTAATAGAAGCCGTAACTAAGTAGTTAAAACATCGAGATAGTTCCTATGGGTGTGTAAACGAAGCAGATATTTTGACTAAAGGGCATGTAACGGCCTGACGAACTCCCAGAAACTTCTGTTATAAGAGGCTGTTAGATACTAGAATGCTAGAAGAATAGATTGAAGGGTACCAGAGCAAGTGACCAAGACGTTACCTGGAAATCCATGTCAACTTGTCCGGGGAGACTATCCATCACGTGACCTGGCTCTGGAGGGCTGATATCAATGGTGATCTAGAACACATATTAGTCTTCTCAATATGGATAAGGGCAAAACACAATCAATTTCCTCAAAACATAAATAAAAATACAGTATTGCTCAAACAGCGTCCACTGCATGTCCGCGTCCTTTTTAATGTCAAGTCGCCATTACAGTACTCCAAGAAGGTATAATTCATTGCGGTTGTTTTGTAGAAAAGATTATTAACGAATACCCCTGAACATAAGCGCTCACATACTAGAGTTGACTGAAAGTTAATACATGTATATACATGCATTTTCAGTCAAACCTGTACTGGTGACCATCCTAATTACATGTAATGTGAAACAAACAAAAAAAGGACAACGGTAACACTAAAGAAGGCCTCTACAGCGAGAGTAGAGGTTTGAGAGGTGATTAGCCAACCTACCTTTCCAACAAACATAAAAGAGGACAAGGACAAACACTTGGAACACAAAGTACACAACGGTCATTACATAACACTCCACCATAGGGGATTCAAAAAGTTTTCAAAAACCGACTCGGTGCAGTTCATAACTCCTACCTCACCCTCTTACCCATATCGAAACTACTTGTATGGCTGAATAACAAATTTCATTGATCACAACCATTTATTTTCCACGAGCCGACGTTTCGATGGCCGTCTGTCATCTTCATTGGGGCAGTTCTGACTGGTTTACTGTGCACTGACGCTAGATGTTAGTTGGTGCATAGTGCACTAAAGGTTTTACAGAGTTCACCGTGCACTGTTACTGTTACTTTGTAATACTTTTAATGCACTATGCACCAAGTATCATCTAGCGTCAGTGCACAGTAAACCAGTCAGAATTACCCTGATGAAGATGACAAAAGGTCATCGAAACGTCGGCTCGTGAAAAATAAATGGTTGTAATCAAAGAACTATTCATTCGTTTACCAACCTAATGAAATTGTTTAAGGATACTTGTACGTTTTCATGACACCGAGCTGGTTTACCTGCAGAGTGTGTGTGGTGACCAGACGTGCCCTGTTGGTGACAGTCACCACCAGGTGGTAGTCGTGGTTGTGACCGCCCGTGGGAATGACCATCTTGGACGCATCAGGCACGATCTCGTACCCAGTCATGTAACAAGGAGACATGGGCACGCACACGCACTCACCGGCCGTACAGATAGCCGGGTTCTGCCAGAAAAAAAAACGTAAAAAATAAAACTATTAATCAATAAAAAAAGTATATTTTAAGGACGCCTTATGTTTAATCTTTAAAACTGTTACAGTGAACATTTTTGTGTCCCTGTCTTTCTCAGTATGTTCACTATCTGAAATTCCTATCTTGGAACCTAGCGTTTTCTACAAAGTTTACATCAGTAGTTAATCAAATTTTAATTTGCCTGCCTGCCTAAATGCCTAGGCCAGAACTGGCCCCTTGCACCTCTGCACTTTCTCCCTCCAGGCAGCACGGTCCTTAGCCTTTTGTTCTGCGACCTTTTGTCTAACTAAAAATCAATTTTAAACTAAGCATTCAATTATATAAATTATTACGCACCGAAACAATATGACAATACGTTATAACAATATGGCAATGCGTTAAATATGACAATACGTTAAATCCATTCGAGGTTTTACCCTACACACTCACAAACACAGCCATATACTCCCCGAACGTCTACTAGGGAACCTAAACCTACACTACGTCTTCAAAAGGTATATACTATTTTTAACAAATCATGTCATTTTCAGAACACGAGATATAACCCGAGGCGTATTAAGTTGTTCTTTCTTCACCGACTCCTTATTTATAATCACATACACCAAATATCAAACGGATCCCTCTACAAAAAAGACGCGTACGTGCGTAGACACATAATGCAGGAATACAAAGAGGTATGTAACGCATTTTAGGCAGGTTTGAAGAAAACAAGACTTGAATAGAATTGTATGTTAAATGTAAAGTACCGATTCCGTGCGAACGGCCAGGCTGCCTGTTCCATGTACAATGCTGTGGTCATCCATGTCCAATAGTTCCCAGGACATGGTGTGCAGTCCACTGTGGACATCATAGGCCTGAAACTCCACCCTGTAATAAAAAAAATACTGATTATATAATCTTAACTATCCAAACAATTTGAACTGTCATGTTTAGGTACTCAATACCTAGTACTATTAACGGTATAGGCCATACTGAAAAAACATATGGATGACAGTTAAAGACTAAAATATTATCACATTAAGAGCACGCCCAAGTCCGATAAAGAGGATTCCACAACGGGTTTTACCAAATGTCGGTGCGATATAATAAAGATTAAAAGAAAACGAAAAAAAATGTCCTCATATTGAATAAACCTATAGGCCAATATAATGAGTCTTTCCTGGCGTAACTGGTGAACATACCTGTCACAGATTTTTTAACAGCATGTTAGTTTAAACATGGACCGCGGCCCTTGTACGTTCATACTAGAATGAGTCAATATAAGTTGTTATTTGTATCGTATTTTCATTTAGTCTTCACTGCTTGGGTTGGCACAGGCAGGCAATGCAGGCATTATCAGTGTATCAATGACATGCCGCCAAAGTACCTGAGTTATCAACCAAGGATTGAGGCGTTCAAGAATTCATTCTTTTCTAGAATTATCGCAGAGTGGAACTCACTGTCACAAAGTACAATCGGGGCATTGCCATTAGATAGCTTTAAGCAATGTCTTGAGCTAGAAGTTCAAGGGTTAGGTCCAACAAGTCGATCGGTGCAATATAGCCAGCTGCCTCCGCGCCGTGTGCCTGCGAAGCTGGCGTGTTAAACCGAAAGGCGGTTATACCGGCTATACAGAAACAGATACAGATTTAAAAAATCCCGACCTCATCTCCCAAAGTTCCTGCAGATGGTGCACCGCCAGGTCCGGTTCTCCGTCCTTCTCCAGCCACAAGTCTGCGATGACGGGTGGGGACGAGTCGATGTGAACAGTGACGCCATCGGTCTTCTCGTTCCCAACAATATCAATGGCCTTGATCCACACCTTCACAGTGTTGCCGTCATCTCTGAAGACAAGAGCAACAACAAATCTGCTTAACCATATGATTATATGTTACAGCATTATGTTTGTTTTATATCATTATTAGACAGTATTCACACAAACTAAAACTACATTCTGACACAGTCTGGGTAAAACATAGTCAATTTTCTAAAACTGAATCTTCGCCTACTTATTTATAATCGCTATTGACAATGATAGGACTCCATGCGAACCTCTAAAACAAAATTTCCGTCTCAAAAGTAACAAGGTAAAATTAAAGAAAAACTTGATTTTCTTTGCAACTTTGTTGAAGTAATAGCAGTCTGAAATTGGTGATAGATACAATTTAACGGTTACACTACATGTGGACTGCACATGAATATGACAAGTGTTGAGCACCATTGAATACGTAATAAGATAAAACTTTTGCATTCAGAATTCAACAAATAGGGGATAGATGCGGGGTATATTTACTGACCTTGAAACCATTACAGACTGTACACCACTGTGCAGGTCATCTACATCAGTCCACCCGGTAGGTGAGAGAGTTTCTCCGCCCTGGTTGTCTACTCCAGACGCTACCTAGTGAGGTTTGCAAACATCATGCAGTATTTCATTTACGTTACAACATACAAGTATCATTCTAAACTCAATGTTTTTATTAACTTGAATCCATCCGTTAATTGCAATAAGCGGACATGGATTTGTAGCATGATCTTCAAAATTACACTAAACATAACAACATAACACTTAACACTAACGCCTTCATAAACAAGCTCTACAAGTGAAACAGGATGGGGCATGTGCGTGTTTGCCTGCGAAGTCAGAACATAGCGCATAAATAGTGGGCTAGTTTTGAGTGAGTATGTTGAATAATTATAGCAGTTCTGCAGTGTGTCCTGACTTAGTTTTATGGTTGACATGCTCTGAAGACCCTCAAACTAGTGCACGGGCGAACAAAACAATTCCGGCCCAAAAAAATTATACTTAAGTCACAGTAATAGAAAGCTCGTGTTGTGAATTTGCGACAGGACATATTTACATATACAACGAGCCGGCACATGCTGGCTTTTTAAGGAATTTATGAATCGGCACTGTACGTATGTACTGAGTTCTTGAGTTGTGGAGCTTCGGTAGCCTGGGTGCCACTCTCCGTAGTTACCGCGGACTCCGTATTGTCACTAACTACCATGAACTACCCAGGCCTTGAGCCAGGGGAGAGCCGCGGAGGACGTAATAATCTCTCTCTCTCTTTTTTGAGAACAGGCGAAAATCAATGCGCGCGCGGATGTCATCGATAAAATTAATTTGGTGTATCCTAATATTACCTGAAATCTGACCACGCCCTGTTCGTTGTCGATGGACTGTCGTGACCGATCTCCAGTGCTGACGTCATCATACGTTGCTGAGTTGTTCAGTCCGCTGAATGCCCGGATGTGCGCCAGGAAGCGGCCGTTATGGTGGGTGTGCTGGATGAAATGATCCTGATAATGGACTGTGATGGGATCCGCCAGGCTCGTCTGCCACTGCGTTAGAGCAAAGTAAAGTAACTCTTTAACTACATGTACATTTCCACGACTTCATTCCTTCGCCATATGATGTTATCGAAATCTATAGAACGAGTGCTTTACAAATGATCCATTTACTGAACACAAAATTGTCTATTGATGTCGCTAGAACGTGTATTTTCCATCTGATTTTGAAGTATTTCAATTTTATTACTAAATTCTTGTGTATATATGAATGATTATGCTGATCGTACAACTTTTGGTTTCGAAACTTTGCAACTTTATTGATTTTTGCTTGATTAGAACATATATTTTAATGTTTTGCAGTCAACTTCTGCAATATCGCTTCATCAATTCAGCCTTCGGACTGCGAATATTGTAATAGTTGATGTCATAACAAACAGATCTACATATCCTATTGGACTGACGATTTATAAACACTTCTTATCAATTATGTATATAAGATCCTCATTTGCATAAATTACATCAATTTATCACACTGCCAACTTTAGCTATCGGCCAGTCTGCGGTTGCGAAATTTCCCCTACCTACCCTTCCGGTTACTTTATTGCATTCAAATACCCACGCACATTTACAATCAAACACACCCACAAACAAACACACCTAAAACAATACATCTATACCTTGGCGCAAAAAAAAGTTTTGCAGAATCTAGTATATAATGTAATCACCTGATAGTCGGTTCCTGCAAGGGCACTACTGGCATATATTGATCCAAGGCCCCCTATGTCTTCATCAACATCCACGGTGATGTCCGAAAGGCTGTCATAGATGAAGAAGCGACGGCACAACTGCACGGGCAATGGATTGGAATTATCATTACCATCAGACCGTCAGATGAAATACTAGCTACACTGCAAGCACACTATTTTTAATCTTATATAAATATAAACATATGGTATGAGTAAAATGGCATGTACTTATTGCTAGGCACGTATGTGTTTGCGAGTGTGAGGGCTGGCCTGTGTATTAGCCATTTGAACAGCCTGACATTCAGAAGAATAGATGTGTGTTCTTGTGTGTGTGTGTGCTTGCGTATGTGCGTCTATGTGTAAGTGTGCGACGATGTTTGTGTGTGACTGATCTATTTATTTATCTGTCT